TTTACAAATTTTTTATCACAGAGTATTAAAATTTTTTTAAATTTACTAAAATATTCATAAATTAATTATTTAATATTATATTTTTTTATATACTTTATATTATTGTTTATTTTTAATAACATATATTTTTAAAAGATAGATACTTCTTAAGAATCCGTAAATGGAGTTTCAAAATACTAATTTAAACAAACTCACCAAAGAAAAGAGATGGAATGAATTAAAGCAAAGTCAAAATATTAATATTTTTTCAATAATCTAGATCTCTCAAGTTTGTCTAGAATGTTATATAGTAATATAAATAAAAAAAGAATCAAGTATTTAGACACTTGACTATTATTTTTTTTGGTATTAATCTCCCAGTGTCCGGTAACCACTTTGGGTCCCGACTAATCTGGAATCGAGCCGCGTCGGATCCCATTAGAGGGGAAGCTCTCCCAGCGCCTGTTTCTCCATTCACAAGACTCGAACTCGAAACCTTACTTAAGGAGAACCGAACTCCTTCCACTCGACTCAACAGATGGTTGGTGACACTTGACTATTATTTTCAAGACTAGTGTTTAAAAGTTACTTGTGCTAAACTCCGCACCTACCATAGCTTACAGGTAAAATTCATAGACTGGAGTCATGGTTTTACTTAATTTAAACCCAAGTCCAACTCCTTCCCCCCTCCCCCAAGAATAGTTGTACCATGTAATTGTCTTTTCTTTTCTTTTCTTTTCTTTTTTTAAATGAAAAAAAAAAAAAAATCGCTGGAAATTTCATGGAAGTTTTTGCTCTCTTCGGTGAATGAACCACATTGCAAAATGCCCAGAGCATCTGCATCTCCCCCTTCTTCAACGAACATCATAAGCTGAAATTAGAAAACATATCCAATTTGAACCCAACGGCAGCTTCTTTTGCCTCAATTCAAGGCTACACAAAGTCATGACCACAAATTAATTAATCAGCATCTTGTATGGAGATGGAATCTTCTTTACTTAGAAGACCCACTAGTTTTCAGCATATTGTCCAATACAAAAGAAGACCCATCACATGCATTAGATTTTAGGGTGTCCCTAACGTTAGTCCAAATCAATTTCAACAAGACACCAAAGTTCCTCTTTTTATCAATAATACAAGACCTAAAACAATTAAAAATTCTCTTTCTAGTCACCAAACTGCCAAATTTTCAAGATTCTTATGGACCCATTTTGAATACCTCTTCCATGTTTTTCAAAGAAATATAAAGTTCCCTACGAGGCATCTACGTAATTCATTGTTTTGAAAAATTATGTTTTTTGTAAAACTTTCTAAAAGTGTTATAAAAAGACCATGTGGAATGATTAGTAAAACAACTTCACTAGGATGCAAGTTTGGTTTTGAAATTTAAGATTAGGATTTGAGTCTTGGAGCCAATATTAAAAAAAAAAAACCTCTTGAAAATATTATACTAATATAAAGTGTATCTTTGAGAATATTTGATTTGAGAGGAGAAAAGGAATGATTTTTTTTAACAAATTAAATTGTAATAATTAAAAACATTATAATTTGATTAGTTAAAAAATTCATCTCTCTCCTCTCCCCTTTATTCCCCAAACGAAACATACCTTTTAAGATTATAGAAATAAATTAGTTATAAGATATACTCTAATTAAATTGAGAACACCTTGACCATTAGAAAACAATATGAAGTAAAGAAGGGGATACTGAACTGCTCATGCCAAGTAGATTTATAAAAAGTTTTACGTATCATATTAAATTCACTATTTTAATTCAATCAAAAACAATCCATCAACATTGAAACTAAAAAATTCATAAAAAATTACCTCTATTAACCTCCCTAAAGACTTAAACTCTAATCAACAAAGTAAGAGCAAATTTCCCATTGCCAACTATATACCACTCGGGTTGTAGAACAATTAGTAAATGATTATGGAAATCGATAAATTTTATCAAAATTAAAATACATTTTGTAAAGTCTTTTAAAAAAAAACTTGCCAATTTGTAACATCAACTTCTTTTTTTTGGATAAATTATTTTGGGAGCAAACTTCGAATAGAGAAACTGAAAAACTTCTGCAATAGATAGTTTGTTCGAGGCTTCTAGCTATATGATTTGGATGGTGTTTGGTACTAAAGTTTAAGGCAGAAGATTTTCAGTTTAGATTAATCAGATAAAATATTAAGTCTATTTGTATTAAATATCAACTCTCTGATACATTTAAACCGTGAGTCCAAACACTCGTTGAAGATTAAAGGAACATTCATTAAGGTTGGAAGCGTGTCTAAGTGCAATCTTCACCTTGTTTAAGAAAACAACTTAGTCAAAACTTGCCAAATTTTTTTGAACGTAGAAACTTTAATTTGCAAGCCTCTGCTTATTCTTCACTCTTCCTCTAGGGAATACCTTTATTGGACCCAACCTTTTATATATATATACACATCCTTTTGTTATTGAGTAAATTCCTCAAAACATTTCTTTGAGAATCGGCGAATATGATACCTATCATAAGCAAGCTATATTGTTCTTCTTCTCAGGTGGTATTCGTAGTTAGGAAGAGGCCACATGTGGTGAGCGGAGGCGGCTTTGTGGTGACGAATTGTAGCCAAAACGTGGTTTTCCGGGTCGACGGCTGTGGGGTTCTTGGTATTAAAGGGGAGCTGGTTCTTAGAGATGGAGATGGAGGAGCTCTTCTTCTAATCCGCCGCAAGGTATGTATATACTTTTTGCACTGAGAGAGAATTAAATTTTCATGAATGATATATAAGCAATTCCATGCATAGATATACATTCATACATATATACTTGAATTTAAATTTTATACATATTTAAATTGAGAGAAACAGAATGAGAAAAAAGGATTTTCATCCAATTAAATGAAAGCCTTTCTCCCCTTTCACTTTATTTACCTCTACTAAACATTCTGCTAGAATATATGAAAGAAGCACAGAAAGAAAGTGAAATATAATTGGATAACCATGTCCTTGAAAAGGACATCATCAGTTAATGGAACAGTTACTTTTTTCTTTCTTTTTTTTTGAACATGGAGAATTTGAAAAAAGGGAAACATATGGTTTACAAAGATTAAAACCATGGTCTTAGTCTTGTTGAAATTGCACCCAATCCAACGCAGTTAGTGCTTTGGTACATTAAGTAACTTTCATTTGAATAATCAGCATGATTTGTGATCATGATTCTTGTCTAAGACATATCCAATAAACATGATTATTGTCTTCATAACGGCATGATTTTGTCGAGTCATGCCTGTGACCTTGCAATTTAAGGTTTACTAATAAATTTCTAGTAAAATTACTCCCTTTGATATCATAAAAGTAGAAAATATGGGTCCAAGTAAAATGAAATTTGAAAGGTTATTTTTTATTATATAACTTACAATCAATTGTATAAAAAGTGTTAGCATCCATACATATGAGTTGTAATTAGTGCTATCAATTAAGTTATTATCTCTAATTCTTGCCTTGTAGGCAGGGATGGTCGAGGCCCTAAGTTTACACAAAAAATGGAAGGGCTATACCTTTGACTATGAAGGATCACAGAAGGTGGTTTTTACTCTAAAAGAGCCTCTATCCCATCCATGTCCATGTGTGCCAAGGAACAATGCCATCAAAATCTCTACTGAGCCAAGTGGAAGCTGCTTTGAGGTTAAAGGATATTTTCCTGATAGAGATTGTACCATTGTTGATTCCACCAACAATGTTATTGCTCAGGTATATCTTCTATCATATAACAACAAAACGACATAAAAAACCATATGAACCCATCAATTAAAGGTTTCCCTTTTATGACAGATTGCTGTAAGGAAAGAAGTAGAAGAGTTGATGAGCAGCAAGGATCTGTACCAGGTTTTGGTGAAACCAGGAGTCGACCAAGCTTTTGTTTTCGGAATCATTGCTGTTCTGGACTATATCCACGGCGAATCCACCAGGTGCTAGAAGAGGAATTGTCCATGGCAATTCATGCTTTCCAAACACATAAATGTACTTATATGTAAAGCTAATGCTAACTAATATTCAAATAATTGCAACACGCCACAGAAAAGTCGTCTGCAATCTACCTTGCATGGATAGTAGAAGATGATCTCCACGATTAGTGGGGTTCTTGTGAGATAAGGAGTTGATCCCACTAATCATGGAATCAGTTTTTGCAGTTTGTGCAAGAGTGAACTGTAAACACCATTATGAATATTCAACATCTTTACTCTTTCAACCCAGCTCGATTGTTCTTTACATTTCCCAGTTCCCACAAATATTTGGGCCTCTATGGGCCTGGGTTAACTGGATAATCTTGGGCTGTTGGGCTTGGAACAAAGTTCAAGAAATTATTATATTCTCTTCAGTTGTTCTCACCCTCCCGTATTGGCCGGAATTCTCCTTGATTTTAGGTCAAGATTAATTTAAGGGTTGTTTGCTTGAGGCCTTCTTCGGAAAAATGAATTTAGAAATGCCAATAAAAAAGACACTAGGGTAGGCTCAAGAAAGAAAATTTTTTGACACAAAAATCGAGATTAAATATAATTAATTATAATAAAAATGTAATAAATTATATTAAGTATATAATTGATTACAAAGAGTTAAAAAATGATTACAAATGATATAGTCACTTATTTACTTATATAATCTATTACCTCACTTTTTAAGTAACATATCTTTAAAAAAATGCTTTTCCAAATATTTTATCACATAATGGATTATATTTTTATTATAATAAATTATATTCAACCTCAATTTCATATTTAGAAATTGGTTAAATATCAATTTTGGTCCCTCAACTTTACAGAGTTGCACTTTTCTCTTAACTATTTTTTACACTTTTTTATCCCTTAATTTTAAGAACTGCATAATTTTGGTTTTTTCGTCAATTAGGATAGTTAAGTCGACCCACATGGCATTTTCCTTATTTTTATAATGACACGTCAATGACAAATCATACAATTAGTTTAGGTGGACAATGTAAAATTACCAAGTCATATTCAATTATCATTTTTAATTCTTTTCAATTCTTTAAATATAAAATTACTAAAATGCCCTTAATTTATTGTTCTTGCCATCATTCTCCTTTGCACTTTCTCTCTTTGTCCTCCTCACCACCACGATCGTTCTAGCCTTCCTCACTCTTCATCACTTTTTCTCTTCTTCCCTCTCCTTCATCCCTCTACAAAGATGATTTGGGTTTGTGAGGAACCCAAACCATCTAGGTTTGTCGTGAACCTAGAAGATGTGGGTTTGTCACAAACCTAGATTTGGGTTCATCATGAACCTAGACAATCTGGATTTGTCATGAACCTAGAAGTTGTGGGTTCGTCACAAACCCAAACGACTTGGGTTCGCGAGGAACCCAAAACTCGAAAAGGTATCCCATTGCTTTTCGATTATATATCCTCAATTTCTTTATTAATCTTCAAAGAAGCATGGCTATGAGATTATTTCCTTGTCTGGTTGATGAAATATGTGTGTTTGCCTTTTCAATTTAATGTATTTAGCATAGATGGTTTTCTGGGATTCTATTAAGGGTCTATTTGTGCTATGACATATGTGGTGCTTAGCTTGTTTCTTGATTAACCGAGTTCAA